TGTCAAGCACTTAGCAGAGTGCCTGGCACAATCTAAGTGCTCCATATTATTATTATTATTAATATGTTGGTGAAAAGACCATTCCCTAACGAAACTAGCTCCCCACCCATTTATCTATCTAGGCATCTGGAGAATCTGTTTGTTGTGTGTGGTGATTGGGATCAAGGAAGTGGCCCATTCTTAATATTCCCAGGCCAGAGACTATAAAGCAGTGGTTCTCACAGTTTGGTTTGCGTGTGTCTGAATGCCCTGGAGGGCGGGTTAGAGCACTGACTGCTGTGCCCCCCTCCCAGAGCTTCCTGATCCACTCCTTCTGGAGAGGGGCAGAGAATTTACATTTCTAACAAGTTCCCAGATGCTGCTGTTGCTGCTTCTCTGGGAATCCCACTTTAAGAGCCACTGCTCTAGGACAGCAGTTTCCAGTAGGAGTACGATGTAAGCAACATAGGCCATTTAAAATTTTCTAGTAGTAACATTAAAAAAGTAAAAAGAAGTGGGTGAAGTTAATTTTAATGTTATATTTTATTTAACTCAACATGTCAAATATTATCATTTCAACACACCACTGACATAAAAATCTACTGAGACAGTTTACATTCCTTTTCTGTAGCAAGCCTTTGAAATCCAGGATGTATTTTACGCTCCCAGGACATTCTGGTTCAGACCAGCCGCATTCAAATCTGACTTTGCAAGAAAATGACCCGACGAAGTTTCTTTTTTCTGGCCTCCACCTCCCCCCCCATACCAAATGGCATTCTCTATTTTTATGTTTTTTTATAATGGGAAAACTTTGCATAAATGACCTTGAAAAAAATTGTGAAAATCATTATTTTAAATTTTTTCTTATGTATTTCCTCTGGCTCTCTAAATTCCATTCAAGAAAAGCGATATGACATCTGAGAACAGGAAAGTCAGTCTAAGAGCAGTAATAGGTTTCAGAGAAACAAAAGTGAAACTTTATTACTGTCTACATAGTGAAACAGGAGGGAAAACGGAGATTGGTAAGTCAGAAAGCAGTTGGCATTTCAATATACTGTTTTAACTTTTTATAGTTTTTATGATTGCGTGAGAAATATAAACGTATACATATCTTTTTTAAACTCCTAGTTTGGTAGTTGATCAGATTGTGGTATATATTAAACTTCTCTGAATTGTATTAATTAGAAATACTGAAACAAATGTATGTGCTGGAATTTGCACTATTCAGGTGTATTTTTCATAAAGAATATTTCTTTTTTACAAACTAATAGATTTTCTGACTAGCATTAATACATATTAAGATCTTTGCATAAGTAAGTTCAGTTTGATGGTAACTATAGTTGTGGATTATTAATTTTACACTGGAGATGTGTATAGATGATATATTGGTGATAGATAAATGGTGAAATGCTTTTCTTTGGGATTGACATCTTTCCTAATAAGTTTCTGACTATGGAACATATATCTAAACTAAGGTGAGAGATCAGTCTGAGATTTCCTAAATAAAATTTCAGTCAACAGTTTCCTTGATCTTTATTTTTCTCTAGGATATATGTAAAACTTAGATGATGTATATGTATATTTGTAATGTTATTACTGAAAGCTGAGATGTAATTATAGGGAAAACATTTCAAACAATACCTAAGCTATTAAAATGTTGCACCAACATCAGGACTTGTATTTCTGTCTGTCTTCATTTTCTATTGATTATTTATATGCATGGGACATGTATGTGTGGATTTGAATAGTTAGGCCCCAGTAATTGGTCTGTTCTAAGAACAATTGTAGTGATAATAGGAATTAGAAACAGGTTCTCCCCCAAGAAGTCAGAGATCGTTGTACCTTTCTTATGGACTTAAAAGCTCTCGAGATCAAGCTATGTTAGAGATAGACCATCAAGCATGGTGACCAAGCGTGATGAGAAGGAAATAGGAGGTCCGTTGGCCCCAAACATGTCAACTTACTCACAGCATCAAAGGCTTCTCGGGTTAACCCAGGGGGTCTGCAGCTTTGAGGGATGGAGTTTCAAGTTGCTGAACTCTGGGCCTGTCGTTTAGGAGGAGGTGACAATATATTGTTTCTTAAAGGAAAAGTTCCTTAACTATTTTTTTTTTTTTTTTGTTCCTTAACTATTTAAGTTAAACAGTTGAGATTCAGATTAAGTGGATCTGGCTGTCCCGATATAGTTCATAGCAGAGAACAGAATCCCAGAAGAATAGGGGCACAGCACAGTTTCATTTTCCTAGGGGCGAGGGAGCCAGAGGAAAGGTAATGGGCATGTGATGCCATGCCAGGGCGAGGTGTGCTTCTGAATATTCTGGTAGGGCTAGTGCCAATCTGAGGTGTGGACACTCAGGAAGGGCCTTTGACACTGAAGATCAACCTTGTCCCCGTTGTTTGTCCTTATCAATAGAACCCAATGTAACTATCTAGCCACTTAAATTCTTAATTCTTAAGGCAAATCAGATTTATTTTCTATTTATATTGAAATCTTTCATTTAGTTTCCATAACTGGAGCTGTAGCTGATTTCCCAATCTCTCTGTTACATACTAGCCAATGGAAAGCCTTGATGTGCAAAGGCCGTAGGAATCCAGCTGGAAGGAATTGCCTGTAGAGATAGCACACCGGGGGGAAAATAAAGAGTAAAATGGACAAAGAAGAGCTCCTTACAAATTATTTTTATCTTATCTTCCCATCTGAGGAACCTGTAATAGCCCCATTCTACTCTCACAGCCAGCCTTTTCCTTCCACAATAAAAATAATATTGTAATCAATCTTACTGGCATCACAACCAAAGAAGAGTCTTCCTTGACTTAGACGCCGAAGCAATGAGAAAGGGAATTGCCAAGGAAATATATATATTCCTATGAATCTAGCTCACCATTCAGTACTGCCACTTACTCAGATCTCAGAAATTTTCTGTCCTCTGTGGAGTTCCTCCCTGATTTCTCTATAGATTATAACACTCCAGCTTTAGAAAATGCTGCACACCCAAATCCTAGACATCAAAGCAAAACAAAAACAAAACGCTTTTTCTGTCAGATTTCACACATGTATAATGGCAGGAGTAGATGTGTCCGGAAGATATAGCTAATCCAGTCTAATGAGAGGAATTGTGGCTCAGATCCATCTTAACAAATTGCCCCAAGTGCTGCTGTCTCCTTTGAGCCTTCCTCACTCCATAGCTGCAGGCTGTGTCTCTTTTCTCTGTCTTCCCCATCCTCATTCTCTCACATACATACATACACTATCACATATAGAAAAATCTATGTATACGCAGTGTATGTATACATAATGCCAGAACTTCCATTTGAATAAGAAAATCAACCATTCAAATGTCTTCAGATATCATGCTTATAGACTATCTTGCAGGCATTGTGATGACTGGTCAAAGGTTTCACATCTATGGCTTGTAAACAAAAACACCTGATTATTTGTGCTTATTCTTCACATACCATCTCTATTCACTGTTATGGATAATCAGAAAATAATCCTAATGTCTTTTACTAGTAACTCTCAGGGGCAAGAATAGTGAGAATGAAATTCAGACATTATTTGCCAGCTAGCGTTATATACTTTCTCCCTTATGCCAAGGCAGAGGATATAGCATTTACCATTGGGAAGCGTTATTTAAATGGAAGGTGTATCCAGTGGGATGGGCACTCTTTGCAGAGTATATGGGAAGGAGCTGTCTTACTGGGGATTGAGTATGCAGCGTCTCCCCTGCCACCGTGCCCAAATGCATGTATCAGTGGCAATGTCATTTGGAAACTTGTAAAAATAAAATTTTACTGTTTCTAATATTTAATAATATAGTAGATAATAGTATATGGATTCCTATTTGAGTGGTAATAGAGTTAAGATTACATATTGCCAAGCTTTCATCCTAAATCAACAAAAGGTAATGGATCTGAATTTATGCTTTATTTAAGACCTAGGCTTAAAAGAAGTTTTGGTGGGGAGAAATCGGAGAATTTTTGCAAGTTATCCCTGAAATGTTATCAATTCTAGATACACTCTTTGTAGCCAAAGTCAAAAAGGATATAAGAAAGAGTTTCAGTGGTTCCTGATTGACAAAAAGCATTAAACATGCAAATAGGTAATATATTGATATCTCGGCCTGTCTAGCTGCTAACTTCTGAACCAATCTGTTTGCCCATTGTAAGTCAGTTATGCCCTATTTCAAAAAGAGATTGAAACTATTAAAGACTTAAGATGTAGCTTCTATAATAATGGTAAAAGATTTAGACCGTATGAGAAGAAGAAAAACACCACAGCTTGATATTAAGAATACAGATCTTCTCATAGTGGGCAACTTTTCAAAGAAGATTGGACACCAAAGGCCGAAAACCTAAAGAATTTAGGAAAACAGAAGGGTTATGGGCAGTTTTAAGAGTACGTTTGAGACTACAGATCATGAATTTATGGTCATTAAAAACATGATACAGGTATATATGTGTTGATCTGGAAGAATGTTCATATATTGATAAGTGAAAACGCAAGTTTAAAAACTATTATGTGTTTCTTATGTTTTAATCTGGAACCTTTCTCTTGTTTCTTCCTGGAGTGTTTTGGTGTAGTTACATACGTGCAGGAAATTCTCAATCAGTGTTTGCTATATTGACTAGAGACTAAAAAAACATTGGAATAGTAAAGATTGTGATGACAATGCTTAGTTAAAATAGGTACACTTTTCCTCCTCTCACCGTTTTTGACCACCTTTCTTTTACATAATAAGAAACACAGTTTAGGTGCATACCCATCTGTGTTTGTCATTTTCCATGTTGGTACAGTATGAATAAAATATTTTACATTGTCGTCTGGAGTTATCATAACATGCTTTTAGAGTGTATCTAAGACAAGTGCTTAGCTTGAAAGTATTTTTATATTCTAAATTGGTATTTATGATTATGGCTGAATGAAATTGTTTACTATATTGGAAGAGAGCATAAAAATAACACATTGAGAAATCAATTTTAAAACTTTAAAGTTAATCATTTTTTTTTCCCCTTCTTGGTAGGGCTTATTCCACTAGAAGCAAGATGGCTGAACTCAATACTCATGTGAATGTCAAGGAAAAGGTAAGATATAGTTAAATATTGGCTTGCAGATACTCCAAACTGGATACTGTAGTCTCTAGCTAGTAAAAACTCAATTATAATGGAAGAAGGGAAAAATGGTTTGGGAGAATACATAGTAAGCTTGACACACGAGAAAACCATTCCACAGAATCATAAGTAGCATTTACTAAATGGGTGTTACGCATATTATATTCATTTTCTCATTTAGTCTTGACTATAATGCCATGTAGTTAATTTCATTTTACAGAGGATGGAATTGAGACACAGAGAAGGTAAGTACTTTGCCTGAGGTCACATAGCTAGGAAGCAACAGAGCTGGGATCTGAACCCAGCAGTGCTATTCTACAGTTCATACTCTTAACCACCATGCTGGGTTCCATCTAAGAGCGGGGGTATTATGCTACATCTCCAGAAACAGCCTCGTAGAGATATCCAAAGCATTCCCTAGTGGTCGTGCTGGGTAGCCTTTACAGTTTCTTTCAACACTGAGGGCTCATGGCTCTGAAAATCCCCCCTCCTCGTTATTCGTTGGAGGCTGAGTGTATTTCAGAGCCGTTCCAAGTCTTGTCCTCCTCTGTGAATTTTCTCTGCTTAGGGTCACAACCCCTCCCTTGCCATATATGCTCCCTTGCACTGTTAGCTCTTAAATGATCATACACTGTAGATCCCATGAGACCAGGGAGTTAAATTTGTCCAAGCCATTCATCTGGCACCAGGGGAGCTGAGGCCCTGGAAGGGGTTCGTCCATGGTCACACAGCAAAGTGAGAGAGCCTCACCTGGAGCTCACTCCAGCCTCCCACAGGGCCACCTCCCACCTCCATTAGGCTAACTACTTGGGGGCCATAGGTTGTCTTTCATCTCTTTGTATCCCCACAGTGCCTAAAACCCTGAGTGAAGGATGAGAGCAGTAACATTACTGGAATCCTCAGTAATTTTTCTTTCCTTTAGCCAAGATGTATCAGACTCCTGTTTTGTCCCAAACACTGTCTGGATGCTGACGATGTGGCACTGAACATGTAGATGAGGTTCCTGCTCCCATGGAGCTTGTTTTCTAAGGCAGGGAAACAGAAAGTAAACACAAGAACATATAAATGAACACGATCATTTCATATAGTGATGTCTACGATGAGGAAAATACAACAGGGCGACATGGGCAGGTGGCTACTTTAGATGGGGTTGATTGGGGCAGCCCTCTCAGAGGAGGTGATATTTGAGCTGAGATAGAGAAAACAGGAAAGAAACACCATGCAGTGATCCAAGGACAGAGCATTCCAGGTAGATAAGCAAAAGCAGGTGCCTGAGGAAGACTGAAGTTCATCGTGTTTGAAGAGCTAGTGGTTGAGTGGCCGGTGTGGCCAGAGTGTGGTAGGAAGAGGGATGGTGATGGGAGATGAGGGCAGAGAGTACGCCGGGAACCAGAATTGGTAGAATACTGACTCTTCACCTGTCTCCTCAACCTCCACAGCAACCAGGGGTGGAAGCCAGGGTTTCACAAAGTTGGATGAAAACAAAAATGAATTTTCATCTTTACGCGTATCTAAATGAAATTTAGCATTTCCTTCAATCATGAATCTAGGCAAGGGAGAAAAACAACCCACAGGAGTAGCAGGAGTACCTGTGACTTTCACAACTAGAAATCACAGGTGTCTTCATATCAAATTACATTTGTTGCAGATATCCTGAAAAGCTGTTTGTTCATCACTACTTCAAAATTACTGTAATTACAGAACCTGCCGCTATGTTGTGTTATTTGATGTTGACAGAGAAGCATGTACATTACTGTAGCATAAAATTTTTATTAATATTTTAATGTTATTTCAATATGAGTGGTTTCCTCTGTAATCGTGTATGTTTTATTTAAACATTATTCTGAGAGGGACCCCCGAGGCTTCACCAGACTGCCAAAGAGGGTCTGTGCCCCAAAAGGTTTAGAAGCTGAGACAGAAACATGTAGGGTTTTATTCAAAGGGCAAAAGTAGCCGTTGAAAGGAATTAAGCAGGAACATGACTTATGGTATATTTTTAAAACCTCCCCCAGCTTTGCCAGCTGCTGTACTACTTATTTTATAGATCTTCATATTAAATAACTTTCCTGTTTGATGAGGACACAGAGGCTTGAGAGAAAGTGATTTGGTCAAAGTCAGAGTCTCAGGGAATATGAAAGAGCAAGGATTCAAACTCAGCTCTGTCTGGTTCTAAAGCTCATGCTCTTTCCACTGTATTACTGCTTCCCAGAGTTTTCCACTAAAATAACCCCAGGGCACAGAAGAACAAACTTGCTACTTTGGGACATGGTCAAAACCAACTTCCACATATAATTCCTTTGGAGTCTTCTGTGTGATCTTAAAAATGGATGCAATTTTTTTATCCATTGTATTCCATAATATATTCCATATATTATGTTAATACAGAACTGTTTTCACTTATCGACCATTGAGCAAACAGTGGCAGAAGTCTGGGCCCTTTTACATTGTGGCTTCATGTTCTCTGTGACTCACAGTCATACACTCGGGTGAGACTGTGTGTTCCCAGTTTGAGAAGCTGGGTCCGGCACCACAGCGCTGACCAAATATTGGCCCCTTTCCAAATATCTGTTGATGGATGGGTTGAACAGCTCCTGAAGTTGGGTTATGGGAAGGAAAAGCACTTTAAAGAATCAGTCATAGTAATTGATTCCCTGCAAAACATGGCCAGTGGACAGACCAATATGGTAGGCTCAGCAGATAGAGTGTCTTATTCAAAACAGAGGTGGCCTCGAGCCAAAATGGGGAAGGAGGCTGATCTGTGATCTCACAGACCACAGAGGTTCAGTGTGAATGCTCCGTGCATGGGCTCAGGCGCCACATTCATCCACTTGTCATGACCAGTGTCACGTACACGTACGAAGAGTAACAGGAGATGGTGTTTTTGCCATTGCACTTCAGTAACTTATCAAAATGTTGGCATCGTTTTGAAAGAGGGTGATGTTTAAGTTGTAAATATTATCCATCTGCATGACAATGGAAGTAAAGCTCCTCTAACTCAGTTAGTAAATTCCATCTTCCCGTATCAAAAGGTTAATAGATTTCTCAGCTCAATAAAATAAATCATAATAAACAACGGAAAATTCTGATCATTTGTAATTTTACATTGATTTATTTTCGTACTTTTATTTCCTTTAGTGATTAGCTTTTATGGCCTTTTTATGATTAGTTTGTTTCCCAATCTGTCACACAGCAATGACATTTTAGTTCTGAAAATTAAGAATAATAACTGTTATGTCTTAAGTTATAAATTATAAGCTTTTAAAGATGTGAGAACAGATCCGTATGGTGTTTTTATACACTAGCTAGTCAAGCACTGTGGGAAATTAAATACTCAGTAAAAGTCTTGCAGTGAAAAGAGTTCATCAGTTATCTCTAGTGGGTCCACTGTTGGATGAATTGGAAAGGAAGAGGTGCTTGGGTGAGAGAATCATTTCTGTCCTCATGCAGCTTAACTTAAGGTCTCTCATATCCAAGACAACTGAAATTTACAGTTGACACTCTTTGTGACTCTTTTAAAGTATCTCTATATTATTGGACTATAACTGAAAGGATTTAAATTGGAAATATCCTTGAAGTCAAAGTTTGATCTTCTTAGGAGTGTGACATCCATCCTCTGTGTGAGCTGACCCTGTTTACATTTCCACCTTTATCAGTAGCCACTTCTCTACTCTCCCTTCAACACAGCCATCCTGACCATGAATGTTGCTGCCTCCAGGCTTTTGCAAAGGTAGTTTCCTCTCTCTGGGACATCCTCCACGGGGACCGACCCTCACTCACCTCCCTCTGAGGAAGGAAGCCTTTCAGATGGCTCCTTTCTCTGCCCTCCTGCCCCTCCTGAATTATTGGCCCTTCCTCTGTTCTCCTTTGTGCTTCAGTGAGGCTCTCTGCCTTCTGCCTCCATACCATGATGGTTAGTGGTCTGTCTCCCCAAGGGAGATTGTGTGCTCCTTGGGGGCAGGCACTGGGCCTTTCTCATCTTCGTACTCTTGGGTTTGACACATAGTTGACCCCAGGTCGAGTTAGATAAATGAATGGATAACGAATGAATGAACACGCCTGCTTGAATCGTTACATTCTTTAGGGACAGATTTCCCATTCACGATATTTTGCAAAACCTCAAGCCTTCTTGAAAACTGAAATGTAGGTTAATGGAAGTGTCATCTCATTTTAGTACTCTCTTTGCTATTAAATAAAGCAAGTTTTAAATTGCTTCTAAAAACAAGCTTAGGTTACTTAGGTTGACTACCTGTGGTTCTGCAGAAAAGCAGCGTCTTTATGAGATGGTTATCAAATACTGGTGGTCTCAGGTAGGTTTTGCCAATAACAGATGAGGTCCTTTGGTGAGTAACCAGTCATATCCCACTGTACCCCCTCCAAAAAAAAAAGAAAAAAATCTCCATATCTCATTTTATTAAGGAAAGATACCAGAACAAAATCTTCAGGCTAATCAGGGATCCTATATTTAGGGCCAATTCAATTTCTACAGCTCTTTTCTAAGTAACGGATTTTTTTTAAAGAGATTTAACACTAGAACCTCGTAGATGATTTGAGGATAGGGCTCAGTAGTGACTATTACATTATTCTCATGTGAAGCACTAGGGTACCAACCTAAATTGATTTATAAAGTTTCAGATGTAATTCTCAACTGAGTAAGAAAGGATTATTGGAACTGTCATGCACGAAATAACATTTTCAGTCAGATATTTTCATGCATTATTGTAAATCAGTTTAAATAGAATACAATTCAGCAGTACAATTTGGTGACGGAAAGCCAAGGGGATCCTTGTTTGTAAAACGGGATTACAAATGGAGTTACAAAATAATATTTGCTGAATGTCTAGTTATGGTCTGATAATTAATTCCAACAAAAAGCGATCCTTAAGCCACTGTAGGACACCAAGTATGCTTGGGAAGTGATCTCCAGCAAGGTAAAGTCATGGAAGGAGATTGGAGTTTGGAGACAGCAGCAGAGA